GGGTCGACTACTAAGGCGTGAGCCATTTTAAACAATGCAATTTCAGAGTGAATCCTTCGTACACTGTAATTGTAAATCTTCGTTATAAACCTTGTTGAGAGGTTTCCGTTTGTATGAAGATTCACATGACGTGACCTTCCCTTCTACGAATGCGTTATATTCCTGGTAAATTATTCAACTAAACTATCGAATTACAATGTGTAAATCCGTTCAATCGTCAGAAAATTATTTGTATGCGTCCTTACTTTGAGCCATAATTTTTAATATATCAGACAGCATTTATTCCCAGAATCATTGCCAGTATAAATTTCTAGCTTTCTCCTGCAGCCTTATGACATGTTTCGACCGATGATACGCGGTCTTGTTATCTATCCGACATTCACTGGAACATGGTGTTTTTACAGCCTGATCATATTCTACGAAGATATGATACTCATCACATGACGTGACCTTCCCTTCTACGAATGCGTTATATTCCTGGTAAATTATTCAACCAAACTATCGAAGTACAATGTGTAAATCCGTTTAATCGTCAGAAAATTATTTGTATGCGTCTGAACTTTGAGCCATAATTTTTAATATATCAGACAGCATTTGTTCCCAGAATCATTGCCAGTATAAATGTCTAGCTTTCTCCTGCCTTATGACACGTTTCGACCAATGATACGTCTTGTTATTTATCCGACGTTCGCTGGAACATGGTGTTTTTACAGCCTGATCATATTCTACGAAGATATGATACTCTGGACACTAAACAAAAGTCATTGTATTATGTTTTTGTTTTGAGTTTATGTTAATTTGTACACGGTCACGGTGATTGAACTCATTATATTTTTGTATAAAAAAGTAATCGCCCAGTATTAAGGATAGCTGAGATGAAACGTGCAACCACAATTAGTAATATTTAATAAAGCCTGATTCTCATAAGTCGCCGACGTCGGCGATGCCATTGTTTGAGATCAGTGAAGAAGAACATAGACAAACGATTTTACTCATCAATGATCAACGACAATGGGCATCGCCGACGTCGGCGACATATGAGAATCAGGCTTTAAATCGAGACTTGCGTATGGTGAGGTACAGTTCAACATCAAACAAAGGCCTTCTATTTTGTGGTTTTGAAGTTTTCCGGGTTTCCAGACCATCATATCTTGACAGACTATGGCCTCATTCAAGTGCTATATACAGGGTGTATAAAAAAAAGGAGACCTTTAGAAATCAAGCATATTGTTAAAATTTGAATGCCATTTCAATTGCACATATGCTGAACTGTGGTGCGTGAAATATTGATGGAGTGCATATATTAGAAAAAGGAGACCTTTAGAAATCAACCATTGTTATAATTTGAATCCTGGAGCACTTTGCTAAGCGCATAGCAGATTGATCCCAGGAGCAGACAATCTTTTGTTTAAACGTTATTTCAAATTCTAAAGGTCTCCTTTTTCTAATATATGCACCATCAATATTTCACGCACTACGGTCCAGCATATGTGCAATTGAAAAGGCATTCAAATTTTAACAATATGCTTGATTTCTAAAGGTCTCCTTTTTTTGATACACCCTGCAGATTGGCACACTGTCAGTATGCATGCAAAGTGAAGTAAAACTGAATCGCTTAGTACTGATAACAAAGATAACTGGAATGGTAACTTTCGCTATTGAGGTTCGCCATAGATTGTTGAAAACTTTGACTAGCATATGTGCTATGACAAAATTAATGGCCGCTGATTGGTTAAAAGGAGTACAATTATTTCATTAATTGTACTGCAGTACAATTAATGATTTTCCCAAAACAAACAAAATGGCGGAAAGGTAATTTGAACACAAATGTGAAATGAAATTGCCCTTGAGGAACTAGATGAAAATACGTACTAACAAAAGCACCAAATTTTGCTTTAAAAAAAGAACTATATGAAAATACGAACAAAAGTACCAAATTTTGGTTGAAAGTCTGGCAGGACTGGACTTTGGCGAGAGAATATGACGTTGACGGAGAAGTATCCAATTTTGTCGTGTGCTAAGGGCGAGCCCAATTTGGCAAATTTCCAAACATCACTCGTACTATTAATCCCTAATTGCACGAGCAACATCGCATGATTACCTATACTTATTAGCAAGTGGGAACTACCAACGTGGCCGCCATCTATTCAAATGGGGGTAACCGCTGGAATATTCTTGGCTTCAATTTTACTAAAAGAGATGCGCTATCTAGTGTATATAAGATATCTATGGTTGGGCCATTGACAACCTCGACCAATTGCCTGGTGTACAGTATATACTCAAACAAAAGAGAAGTGCCTTCGAGACAACGTTCAGATAAGACCGAACGAATTCGGTACAATACACAACTTACTACACACAACAAAAGTAGTTTTAGTTACCGTGAGGTTATATGAGGAATATCCGTGACCATAACAACATCTTCTATCGCCGTTGGTGATTGTCCAATGGTAAACGTCAATTTTTGATCAAATGCTCTCCTCAAAAGTCTAAGAACTTTATTCCCTTCATTGCTGTATAGAAGATAAGCCGTTTCACTTGTCCCCTTATACGGCTTGCCAGGATTCGGATGATCTGATCCTTGGATCCTATCTGGAAACTCGTAACGTATTTTAATACCAGTGTGCAGTTCATTGTCAAAAGTTAACTTTACCGGTTGTTTTTCAATCATCTTCCCTTCTGGTTGATCGCCAGTGAGAGGACCATAGGTCTGGTAACAAATTGGGCATTGCTTCTTCACTTTAAAAGCTTTGTCAATGCAGTCTGTGCAAAACGAATGACCACACTTTCCCAAGGTTTTCTTGTTGGTAAATGGACATAAACAAATGCAACATTTCTCGTCTTTCGACAGTTTAATATTGGTTACAGCTTCAGACTTTTGAACCTACATAGAATATATGCGTCCGAAAATATGCGTCAGTAATGCAGCGCACTGGACTACTTAATTGAAATTAAAATACTATAGTATATATTTAGAATAAGATTTTCCGTTAAATCTTATTGCTTACAATTCATTCTTTTCTATAAAAAAATAGATCTTAATGTTGACATTCAGTATACAGTTTAGTGCATATTTCGTGAGTACTTTGGGATTCTAGATTTATGTATAGTAAAGTCTAAAGGTCAGCTAGTCTAATCTAAAAAGAGTTTTTATTAGTAAGATTCCACAAAAGCGACGAAACACCCACTCCTGTAGTAATAATAGACTAATATTATCCTGATGGAATTCTTCTCAGAATTCAGTGATCGATAAAGCTATATCTTGTGTAACTGATAAAGTTAGTTTAGTTTAGCTTATTGCCTATGCAGCAACACTGGACTTCTAGAAAGAACTGCTCAGAACTGATAGAGTTATTCAGAATAAAAAATCAACAGTCAGTTCAGTTTAGGTTTGCACCTGTAGAAACACTGGGACAATTATAGGAATGACCTTACTACAATGCTACCAGGAACGTTTTAAAAATAATTTAGGCAGAAAAATTGATCTTACCAGTATCTTTATTTTCTGTATCAACTTCTCCCATACAGTTGGCCAAGAACGTAGCAATCTCTTCATTCAATGGTTCCTTGTGAGTGCAAGAAGTGTAGCTGAACTTTGCAACCCCTACCGGTGCTTTAAGATATGCTGGACGTTTCGTTAGGAGATTATTGGCGTTATCCAACATCATTTTCTGCGAGGATAAGATCTCTTTTTCCGTGCCGCTGTGAAGCAATTTTCTGGAAAGTTGAACAGAGCGATATATCTGTTCAGCGTATACCTTCGTTTGTTCCGTCTGTCCATCTAGCTTTGCCCGTTTGCCAGCGTGGATTAAATCTACTTCGTTTAAAAGCATTGGCGCTTTTCGTTTCACCATTGCAGTGACCTTTTTCATCACGGCATCTTGACGCTGAACAATTTTACTTTTGGCATTTTCAGCATCGCGATCGAGTTGTGTGGTCGCCGTGGATAATTTTCTAAGATGAGCATTGCCTTCGTTTAAAGCAGAATCCATTGCCTTGTTTTTCGAAGCAAGTTTCTTCTTATAGTTGCTTGCTACATCCTTGACAAGAAAACAGGAATGATTTGGTTTGGTGTGTATAAAATCCATACAATCCTTACAAATCAGCTTGTCGCACGTCTCGCAGTAAACCTTTAATGTCTTCCCCGAATGTTCATTGCAATACATTTTGCCACGAATTTTCTTCTGATTTTCTGGCTTTGATAACTCTTCCATCGTTAGCACAGAATGACCATGGTTACCTCGATAATTATTATGGCAAGTGAGACATTGCCGGCATGGAAATTTTTCACAGCTGACGCAACGAGCAAACCGAGCTTTTGTTACATTTATGCGAACAAGGAACTCCAATTCCGCGATTTAGTACGGCTGTCGCTTCAACCATATTGCAGATAAAATGATTCTGTGGCATATCGGCGACTTGCTTGTTAGGCTCGAGGGTGAAAGTCTCCCGACAATTGGGGCAGTGGAATTGTCGAATTGGTTGACCGCGAAGTGCGTTGGCACGACATGTTTCAACAACGCCTTCGAGACAAACGTTACAGAAGGAATACATACATACATACATACAAGAATTTATTTAGGCACGCTGGCCTCAACAACTCGGAGCTGATTTCCATGAGGGGCGTGATTTGGAAAAATATACAGAACAGGTAAACATTAAAAATACAAAAACAAAGAAAGAAGAATTACATATACAGTAGGCAACAGGACGAGCCAATTTTAAGTGTTTGCCTGATTAATAGTTCTTTGAAAAGAACTTAAAGATTCCGCTACTTTTACCTGATACGGTAAAGTATTCCATACTACCGCTCCGTTATATTTGAAGCATCTTTTACCAGAATCGGTATTCGGTTTAGGAAGAGACAAATCGGTTTCTCTACTTCTAAGATCATAGGTATTATCCAATTGAAAGGATGTTCTTAGATTTGCCGCGGTGTGGTTATTCAGACTTTTATACATGAAAACAGATTTTAGATAAGTTCGCCTTAGTTCTAGGTGTTTCCAACCCAGGCTTTCAAGTAACATCGTAAGTCGCACTAGAAATTACTCTTGCAGCCCGATTTTGAAATTTCTGCAACCTGTCCTTGAGGACAGCGTTCCTCACTCTGAGGACAGCGTTCCTCACTCTGAGGACAGCGTTCCTCACTCTGAGGACAGCGTTCCTCACTCTGAGCACAGCGTTCCTCACTCTGAGGACAGCGTTCCTCACTCTGAGGACAGCGTTCCTCACTCTGAGGACAGCGTTCCTCACTCTGAGGACAGCGTTCCTCACTCTGAGGACAGCGTTCCTCACTCTGAGGACAGCGTTCCTCACTCTGAGGAAAGCGTTCTTCACTCTGAGGACAGCGTTCCTCACTCTGAGGAAAGCGTTCCTCACTCTGAGGAAAGCGTTCCTCACTCTGAGGACAGCGTTCCTCACTCTGAGGACAGCGTTCCTCACTCTGAGGACAGCGTTCCTCACTCTGAGGACAGCGTTCCTCACTCTGAGGACAGCGTTCCTCACTCTGAGGACAGCGTTCCTCACTCTGAGGACAGCGTTCCTCACTCTGAGGACAGCGTTCCTCACTCTGAGGACAGCGTTCCTCACTCTGAGGACAGCGTTCCTCACTCTGAGGACAGCGTTCCTCACTCTGAGGACAGCGTTCCTCACTCTGAGGACAGCGTTCCTCACCCTGAGGACAGCGTTCCTCACTCTGAGGACAGCGTTCCTCACTCTGAGGACAGCGTTCCTCACTCTGAGGACAGCGTTCCTCACTCTGAGGACAGCGTTCCTCACACTGAGGACAGCGTTCCTCACTCTGAGGAAAACGTTCCTCACTCTGAGGACAGCGTTCCTCACTCGGAGGACAGCGTTCCTCACTCTGAGGACAGCGTTCCTCACTCTGAGGAAAGCGTTC